GTTCTATTTTATTACAGTGGTACCTCGGTTTTCAAATGTAATCCGTTCCGGAAAACCGTTCGGGTTCTGAAACGTTCGAAAACCAAGGACTCAGGATCTTGCCCTCAGCGGAAGCCGCGTGGCATGTTCGACTCCTGAGGCATGTTCGAAAACCGAAGCATTTCCTTCCTGGTTTACGGCATTTGTAACCCGAAATGTTCATCAAAGGAGACATTCGAAAACCGAGGCACCACTGTATTAGTTATTGTTAATCTCTTACTGTGCTTGATTTATAAATTAAACTCTATCACAGGTATGTATCTACAGGAAAAAACTTAGTGTATACACACTGAGTTCGGAATTACCTGCAATTCTAGGCAGGTCTTGTAACGTATCCTCTGTGGATAAGGAGGGGCTACTTTACTCTAAGAAAACATATCAAACAGGACATTCCTCATTCCAAATATGGCTGAAGAAGGCTAGAGACTGACTGTAGCCAGTGCTTGTCAAACTTTAATATGGATACAAGTCACCCAGGGATCTTGTGAAAATGCATATTCTGATTCACAGGTTTGAGGTAAGGCTGGAGAAGTTCTAACAAGCTCCCAGGTGAGCCTAATACCGCTGGTCTGTGAGCTACACTTTTGAGTAGCAAAGCCCTTAGACTGCAGTGTTATTTCCCCACTGAAAATGTATGCTCATCCATTCATTTAGAAACCAATTGTCAAATGTCACCAGGCACTGTGCTAAGTGCTGAGGATAAATACAATAGGGTCTCTGCTCCTAAAGAGTTCCTAGTTCAGTTAAGGCCTTAGGAGGTTTCTCTGAATTCCATAAAACAAGGGCAATGTCAATACAGATTGAACCCAATTAAAGACAAAATCCTTTACAGGATGGCCTGCTGAGTGAAAGCACTTATACAGATTGTGCTGGAGGTAACAATAATGCTGAGATAAATACCTCTATCCAAGGGCTCAACAAGTGATTCAAGCTATGATAAAACCAGACATTCCTGAGAAGCAGGGTGGGTGATGGACAAAACTGGGTGTCAGTGTATCTTTAAAACCAATAAAACCCATGGACATGGAGGCACATCTAGACATCACCTCTGCTCTCTTACTCAGTATAGCAATACTCATCAATGAGACTTGCTAGCAATAGTGAGAGCCAAGGTATAAACAAGCAGCAGTACGAAAAGAGAGCAGTCAAGAAAGCAGTCCTTGATGGAAGAAGCTAGGTGGTTTTGGATATACTGAATGTTAGAGCTGAAAGGGAGGGTCCTCTTAGCAAAGTGCAAACTCTTTAGTTGAGGAGAAAACTAAAACCCAAAGCAGTTAAGGTAGTGGTTCTCAATCTGGGCAATTTTGCACCCCCAGGGGCATTTGGCAATGTCTGGTGACATTTTTGGTTGTTACAACTGATGGAGTGCTATTGATATCTAGTGGGTAGAGACCAGGGATGCTGCTAAAATTCCTACAATACACAGGACAGCCCACCACTACCAAGAATGATCTGTCCCAAAATGTCAACAGTGCTGAGGTTAACAAACCGTCAGTTAAGGAATTTGCCCAAGGTCAAAGAATGAGTGTCATGCCCTGGCCGGGTGGCTCAGTTGGTTGGATCGTCGGCCAGTAAGCCAAAAGGCTGTGGGTTTAATTCCTGGTCAGGGCACATACCCAAGTTGCAGGTTCGATTCCCAGCAGGAGTGCATGTGGGAGGCAACTGATTGATGTTCCTCTCTCCCTAAAATCATTAAGAAACATGTCCTCGGGTGAAATAGGAAAGAATGAGTGTCACACCATGGACTAGATTAGAGCTGTCCAACAGCATTCTAAAGCGATGGAAATGTTTTAAAATCTGCACCGTCCATTATGGTAGGCAATAGCTGCAGGTGGTTACTGAACATTTAAAATATGGGTAGTGTGACTGAGGAACTGGATTAAAATTTTTTATCTTTAATACTTTAAATGTAAGTAGCCACACGTGGCCAGTGGCTATCCTATTGGACAGGGCAGAAATACAATCCATATTCCCTAACTCCCAGACTAGTGTTCTTTCAGTTTCACTGCCTGCTCTTTCCACTATTCTGACCCAGCCCCCCCAGTCTTGAGATCTTGAGGTTTGGAACCTGACTTCTCCACTTGGTCACCTAACAGTCCCTTTCACATCTCAGAAACGAGGCAGGTCAACTCATTAGTAAATTCTCATGCTTCCCACCTCCCTCCCATCACAGAGGCCACTCTGATTTGCTGGTTTTGATGGAGACCACACTGAAGACGCACCAAGTACCAGGCACCGTGCTAAGCACTAAGCATACATCATATCGCTTCATTCTCACTGCAGCCCTAAGCGCAACACATACATTGTCATTTCATTCCCACGGCAGCCCTTTGGGCACCAGGAGGTTAAATAACTTGGCCCAAGTCACACAGCCAGTCAGAAGCACAGCTGGGATTCCCAATCTCCACCTCTTAAACACAGCAGTAAAAGGCTGAACCTGGGGCAGCAACACCGGCTGGAAAGGCGTTCAGTTGTTCCCGCAGGGAGCGGGGCCAGCGCGTAGCCAGGGCGGGGTGCCGCCTCCACTCCCCACGCCCAACCCTGATGCCCGCGGCTCTTACTTCTCGATCTCCAGCGCTGCCACCTTCCGCTTTTCGTAGAGCTTGTCATTGAGGGCGCGCACGATGTTAGGTGTGAGCGGCGCGAAGTCCTTCTCGGGGTTCATGGTGGCAACTCGGGGTGTCTCCCGGAGCCCCGCGACTCCTCAGCCCGCGACTGCCCGGGCTGCGCCGGGGGCCAGGGGAGTCTGCGGCTCCTCGCTGCCTGCGGCGCCGGCTCATGGACCACGCAGCCCTGGGACCGCCTGCCTCGCTCCGCCGCCGAGCGCCGCCTCGGAACCCGGGCTTGCACCCCGCCCCCGCACACTTCACCCTAAGGACTCACGGAACCAGCTCCAGACCGGCACCTGCCGCGCTCAAAGGGGAGCGGCCATGTTACAGGGATCACGTGACCCCACCGCACCTTCCGCCTTCCGCCTCGAGGACCCGCCCCCCGTTAGCCACACCCCCGCACGCAGGCCGGTGGCGGGTTGGCCACGCCCCGAAAGGCTCCGCCTCCTCCTCTCACGGTGCAGCCTCCGACCCACCGCAGCCTGAGGCTGGTTTGAGACCCGCTCGGTGACGTGGGTGTCGCTGGCGCTGAACTGCCCGCCCGAGGTACTTAGCTTGGGGCATAGTGGGCTTCTGCTGACGTTCATGGGAAGGAAGGGGCCCTTGGGGTATGACTTAGCATAATTTATTCAATACTGGCCGAATCCACCAGTTCATTCATTGCTTAGTCGCAAATGTCGCGTACGCCAATGTTTCCCAAACTGGAGTGACACCATCATGATATTTGCCCTATTCTAGCCGCTTGTACTATTATTTTAAAAATATTTTTCTCAAATAAACTCACTTGAAATCTTAAATTCCTACTTGATCCTTGCTTATGCCCTAACATCTTGAGTGTGAATAGTATATTTTTCTAAAACATTTAAATTCTCAAATAAAAACGGTACTACCTGTCTACCACCTAAAGTCGCAGGTACCAACAGTGCTGTCACCCCACGCTTGGGACTGGGAGTGTGTTTCCCATGCTGTGATGTCTGGAAGGGCTAGGTTATACACAGCAGAAGCCTCACATCTGTTGGGTGTAGGTCCCCAGATGGATCCGCTACAAAGCAGCCACGCCAAGTGCTATGAGTGTCACACTAAAGGGTGGAACAGAAATTGAAGCTATGTGGTAAGTTTTAAAAAAGTACTTTATGGACTCAGTGTGGCTAAAGTAACAGGGAGATGCATCAGAGTTCCTTACTGAAACCTACAGTGCACAGGGACTGAGAGCAAGGGCTAGACCACAGTAGAGCCCAATGAGTATTAAATAGGAACATAACACATGGTGGTACTTTTCTCTGAGTGAAAGCTTATAACAATCTTGAAAATGCAGTATTATCCTCAACCCATAGATTAGAATCTATGGGACATAAATGAGGGGCTATGGTAGGCAGAATTCTAAGATGCCCCCCAAGATTCCCACCCCTTTAGGTACATGCCCTGTATAATCTCTTCCCCTTGAGTGTGGCCAAGACCTGTAAATATGATGAGCTCTCATTCTAGTGTATTAAGTTCCACTGGACTCATATCTAATATAATATCTCATCTGTTTCTTTTGCTGTTCAGTTTGACATTTTCTTAAAGGTGAATTGAGTCCCCCCAGGGTCATAATGTGATGTAATTTTTAATAACTGAAACAGTAAGGAATTTTTTGGTATTTTTTGTTACCAGAAGGAACTCTTGTCTCCTGAGATCACATTCTGGACAAGGTTGCTAAGAAACCAGTTTCTTAATCAAAGCACAAAACAATGCTTTGTCCTACCTTTAGTTCAGAAGTTCCTGGAAAGAAGTGGCTACTTTTCTCTATCTTGGAAATGCCAACCAAATGAGGTTATTTATGCATAATTAGACTAGCAGTGGTGGGTGCTGAGAATAAAGGCCAGTGGCCACCATTGCCTTCTCTATGTGTGCTCACTTCTCTGACTGTGGGGGCCAGCCCTGCTCAGATGCTTCTACACTACTGGATAATCGATACTCCTGGTTGCACACTGGCCATCATTTCACAGTTGTAACTTATTTGCATCTGCAGATGCCTTATTGTTACCCTTGTGTTAGTCCCTACCCTTATCTGTTAGGTGCTTTGAAAATAGTATGACTTCTTTGGTTTTTATGTGAAAGCAGAATAAAATACCCCATCAAAATAGAGTCACGTCTAAGGGCTCTTCAAACCATTGTGGATTTTTAAAAGGAAACTGCAGTGCCCCAGAGTCATGCACTGCTAAATTCTGTACAATAGAAGGCCACGAGTACACTACCTGTGCCAGGGGATTATTTACATAGTGCTTGAGCTTTGAGGGTATGTTAAAAAACCAAATTCAGAGACCTGCCCTCGCAAAGTAAAATATAGCTCTGTTTTGTATAGTGACCACATTTAATACGGAGTATATATATTTCATACATATATCTGGAATACACAGAATATGGAAATGAGCGCCCCTATAATTGAATGAGGACAGAACAGAGCCGTCGGAATTCTGATCAGTTCTCTATTCGCCAGGCTAGAACAATACATAGACACCAAGGCGGAGGCTTTCTCTTGATGCAGCGGACCCTGCTTACCACTAAGGGGTGATCCCTTTCAGATAATAAACCCATTTAATTCCTGTTTCTCTGCCTTCGCCGGGAGGGCACGTCACAATCAGCTTGCTGGTGATGGGGGTTTTGCTGCCTGACGGGTTCCCGTCAAAGTAGACTGTGATGTTGTTGACCTTCTTGGGCCGCACCGAGTCCATGGCGCGGATGGAGAAGGCTGGGTTCTCCACTATGAAGGAGAAGGTGACCGCTTGGTAGAAAACATTCTTGAAGGGGATGATTATGTTGTACCCAGCTCGAATCAGGAAGGGACCTTGCGGCTTGGGGGGCAGAGCCATTCCAAAGAGGGGGATGACATACTCCCCGCCTGCAATTGATGACAGGCTCAGGGTGCCCTTGGTTTCACCCAGATGGCTGGGCTCAAAATAGACTTCCACACTGACTTCAGTGCCTCCCTGAGCCCCTGGGGCTGCGCTAATGACCTTTTCTGTGTGGAAGTCTAGACAGTCGGTCTGAAAGGAAAACAAATACACTTAGTTCACACAGGATCCTGAAGGATATACCAGCAGCCCAGGTCCATCCCCAGCCCCTCCACTCTCGGCTGGGCAGGTTACAAAAGAGCCGTGTTCTTATAACTCCACTGAAGACAGGTGCTGCTAATTATTATCTCTATTTTACTACAAAGAAACCAAGGGTGAGAGGTATTGAATAACTTGCCCAAAGACACATGTCTGGATTATGTTGCTATGGCAGCCACTGGTGTGGCTCCCCCATATCCAGCTCTTCTTCTATGCACATGGAAGATGGAACATTCTAGATCTTCACTGATATGAGACTAGTTCCGGACAATTAGTTGCGAGATGAAAGGTGTCACTTCCACACTGGAGCATTCAGTTGCCAGTGCAAGTCCCTGTGGGGTCTTTTTGCCCTTTTGGTGCTATGACCAGAAACATGTGAGATGGTGGTTGCCCTTCAGCCTGGATCCCTGAATTGCTGTGATGAGTAGAGTCCCCTGCTGACCCTCACTGGATAGACAGTGCAAATGAAAGACAAACCTTGGTGCTTTTAAGCCACTGAGATATCGAGGCTCTTTGTTACTACAGCATAACCTAGCTTCTCCTGACTAATAGGACTGATCAAGAGTCTATGCCTCTTGACTGTAGCCCTGATGTTGACTGGGCACATGGCCACCCAGTGCACAGTGGGAACTAAATCTCCTAGTTCCCAGTATTGCTAGGTGTGGCCTTATGCAGTTTTGTTCAATGGAATGTGAGTGGAAATGATATGTGCAGCCCCCTACCTTTCCCGCGTAGCTGTCTAGCATGTGGATGTCATGCTAAACTGTCTTGGTCCATGTGGACCAAAGTAACTCTCTACAGAGGGAACAGCATCAGGACAGGAGTCTGGGGGCCTGGTGTCATGGAGCTACCATTCCCGCCCAAACTGCTTCTGCTCACAGTTGTTTGAGAGAGGAATAAACTTGTATTTTGTTGTCATTTTGGGCTTCTGTTTCAGGAATTAAACCTATATTCCAACTGATATAATAGGTAACATATATGGGGCATTTACTAAGGGCCAGGCTCTGTGAAAATGGTTTTATATGGGTATTTTAAAATCCTCATAGCGATTCTGTGAGGTCAGGGTATTATTGCCCTTTATAGGTAAGCTTAGAGAGCTTTATTAAATAATTCATACAAAGGGTAAATGGCGAAGCCAGGATTCAAATCCAGGCCTGTTGGCTTCCACAACCTAGACTAATGACCATTAAGTTCTACTGTCTCCCTTTATTGACTAATGAGCATTCAGCGAGAAGAAAAACTTCCCACACCCCCAAACAGCTTATTAAGAGAAAGTCTTTAAAGAAGAGCCTAGGCCTTGTACTGTTTACTTCTAGTTGGAGTTTCTAGGCTGGATGAAGCACCTGACTCTCCTGAATTTCACAGTTTTGCACCCCCCATCTCCTCCCATTATTTTTGAGGTCAGACTTCTGGCAAGGGAAGGGCAAAAGGGTGGGGCAGGGGCTGCTCACCCTGCAGTAGTATTCCGTCTTCTGCCGGGTGTAATTGATGATCTTGGCAAAGATGCTCTGGCCACTGCCAAGAACAGTCTGGAAGTGGATGGGCTTTTCAGGCAGCGCTGGCATAGCCTTCAAGTTGAGCTCATATTGGTAGTAACCCAAATCACTGTTGTGCAGAGCTAGTCTCCCGCAGGTCTCTCCAGCTCGCAGGGGCTGGAATTCGAATGAGAATGTGCCCTGCAAGGGAAGACAAGGGCCCCTGTGATGCTGAAGGTCCCACTTGTCCCCTGCCACCCAGGGACCTCAGAGCAGGTTGGTGGCAGAAATGGTGCTTCACACTGCAGTGCTCACACTGATCTTGAGCCCAGGGAACCTCCGTCCAAACCGGCTCACTTTTCCTTCCCCTGGAACCCTCCTAACTTCTATTCCAGGTATTTCTAGATCTGGAATCTCTTTAAATCTAAAAATAGGTACCAGTCCTCTCTCCAGAAGCATACTATAGACCACCACCAGGGCTGGCCCAACCTCAAGGATGTGAAACGTGGATCCAGAGGCCCCATGGGCAGAACCTCTATCACAGCTATCGGGGGGCCCCTGGCAGTTGGGGGTCATACCTCAGAGTTAGGGGGCACCACAAACTGGGAGGGCAGGTTGATGTCAGGCACCCTGCATTCCGTGGCGAAGGTCACCGAGTAGGGAAGGGGGTTGTCCACCTTGACCGAGGCTGACGTACTCTGCCGGACGGGGCTCACCATCTCAATGGTTTTGATGATGCCTGAAGGGATGACCCTGAAACTCACCATGTAGTGTAAGAACTCGTTGGTCACCTCGTTTCGGAAGATCACCTGAGTTCATGGGAGAATGGGAGGGAGCAGGGCAGAGTAGAGGGGTTAGTGGGGGGTCCTCCTCTCTGTGAGCAATGCCTGGGCACCTGAAGCACGGGAACCAGGCTGACACGGGCCCTCCCAGCCTATCTGAATCCCTGCCAGCTGGCCTTGCTCTTTAGATGCTCTGCCCTGGCTCTTCCCAGGTGAGAGCATATTACATAGTCCAAGTTCGCTTTGGAAGAGGCCAGAGCAGCCCTGTCTAGTGCTGCAGGTGAAGTCTCCCCAGTGGGGACAGCTGACTGGCTCTGGAGAACAAGCGTGACCTCGAGAGGTTCATATTGGAAAGGTGCATATTGCAGTGGGGTTCGCTCCTATTCCTGTTGTTGCTGGAGTAGTTGATGATGATGATGATGATGACGATGACGGTAGCATCTAACACTTAATGATTACTGTGTGCCAGGCACTAGAAGTACTTGGCTGTTTAATTCACACAATTTATAAGCGACATTATTATTCCCCTCACCACTGTTTTTTTTAAACACGAGGGAAATGAGGCTTAGCAGCATTAAGTATCTTGATCAGAGTCACATGCCTGGAAGTGTCAGACCAGGATTTGAACCCAGGCTGGACTGATTCCAGAGCTCACACTTGTAACTGAAGCATATTGTCGCCTCACCCTTGCAACTGACTTGTTATTGACAAACTGCTCACCTTTTTAAGCTCTTTTTCCCGGTGACTAATGATGTCGAACATCTCAGGTGCTTATTGGTCATTCACGTATCTACTTGTGTTTTGCTCTTTTAACACTTTCAGTTGTTTATCTTATTATCAGGTGGTCATAGTTCTTAACATATCTGGCTTTTTACTTTCAGCCTCTTCCTGTTTTTAGATTTAGAGTGCTTCTGAAACCCTCTTTCTTTTCATTGGAGTGTTCAGTCTTTTACATTTAAGATAATTATTTATATGTTTGGGTTGAAGTCTGCCTTCATGCTATTTCTTTTCCATTGGTCTCATTTTTTTTTTTCTTTCTTCGTTCCTCTGTTGCTACTTTCCTGCCTTCTGTTGGATCGATATATAATCTTTTGGAATATATTTTATTTCCTCTAATGGCTTCTTAGCTATATTTTTAAACAACAGAGTTTTAGTGGTTGCTGTAGAGCTGACAACATGAGGCTTTAACTCGTCAACATTTAGAGTTAGCACTTTATCACTTTCCACTTTACTTCTGACCCTTCATGCTTCCTACCTCACACTTCTCACCACACAAATGTAATAACCTTACTAAAGTATAATTTCATTGACCTATCCATCCCATGTTATGCGCTTTTGTGTATCTTTTACTTCGGTTATATAAGAACCTCCACTTTACAATGTTCTATTTACTATGACCTGTCAGTTATCTTTTAGACAAAGTTATGGGAAGAAAAACATATTTTAGTATTTACCTACTTGTTTGCCACTTTTAGTGCTCTTCTTCCCTCCTAGCAGACCCAAGTTTCCATCTGGTATCATTTCCCTTCAGACTGAAGAATACTTATTTGCATTCTAATAATGCTAATGCACTCAGTAATGCAAGTCTGCTGGCAATGCATTCTCTCATGTTCTTTTATCTGAAAATGTCTATTTCACCCTCAGTTTTAAAGGATATTTTTAGTGAATAAAGAATTCTAGGTTGATAGTTTCTTTTTCTTTCAGCACTTTGCAGATGGCTTCCATTATTTTTGAAGCAAAGTTAGTGGTCATTTTTACTGTTGTCGCCTGTATGTAATAGGTCTTTTAAATCTGGTTGTTTTAAGCTTTTCTTTTTATCCTTGGTTTTCAGCAGTTTTACTATGATGCGCACAGGCACGGTTTTCTTTGTATTTTTCATGCTAGAGGTTTGCCACCTTTCTTGAATCTGTAAATCATTTTAAAAAATCAAATCAGGGAAATTTCAGCCATTATTTTTTCAAAAAATTTTCCGTCCCATTCTCACTTTCTTCTCTTCTGACTCATATTACTCATGTATTAGACCATCTTATATTTTCTTATAGGTTCCCAAGGCTCTGGTTGTTTTTCTTCAATCTTTTTTCTCTCTTTTCTTCAGATTGGAAACTTTCTATTGATTTGTTTCAAGTTCAGTGAATCTTCTCACGTCTCTGATCAGCTGTTAAGCACATCGGATGAGTTTTTCATTTCAGTTTGTTGTACTTTTCAGTTCTAGAATATCCATTTTGCTCTTTTTAATAGTTTCTATTTCTCTTCTGAGATTCCTTATCTGTCCACTCATTGAGACCGTATTTTATTTAACTATATAAAATATTTTCTTTTAGTTCTTGAACATGTTTATAATGAAATTTTGTTCTCATGTATTTAGACGTGAGTCTTTCTTTCATTCAAGCTGTTTGGCAAGACTTCTTTGAAGTATTGCCTGGTAAATACAATACTTGGCCCATCTTGGAGTCAGTTTCCATGGAGTGCTTTTTTCTTGACTATAAGCCACATTTTCCTGCTTCTCTGCAAGTCTAGTAATTTTTGTTCGTGTGCTAGACACTGCTGATGATCATTGTAGAGATGCTGTATTCCATTATCTTCCTTATAAGAAAGGATTTTATTCTAGGAGGTGGTTCAATCACTGACTAATGCCTTACACTTGTACAAGTTTGGTCTTACGCTTTGTTAGAGCAGATATGTAGAAATCTCTAGGTGTTCTTCAAGACCTTCCAACTTGGTGGGATTCAATCTTCAAATTTTGCCCTCCTTGCTGATCTTGTAGGTGCTCAGTTTAAGGATTTTTCAGGCTGGTCCGCTGAAGATCTTATCCTATAGACATTGTCCTCCTTTTTGCCTTTCTGATGTTTCAGCTGGGCTCCCAGGGTTAATGAGGTGGTGTTAATGCAACCTCCCCGCTCTGGTGGGGCCAGACCTCCAATGATCCCCAGCATTGATTAATGTAGTATACCATTATTCCTTTACCAGCCCTGCAGCAGCTGCTCTCTGGTGAATCTCATGTAGCCTCTTCCTATGCATGTGCAGTCCAACCTTCAGCCAAGGACTTTGAGGGGAACTCTCATATAGACTTT